GCCTGTTCGAATGTATGGAGGATGCACAAAGCGCACTTGATAAACTAGGAAGTTCTGTTGATCCTTTCGGCATGCGCTTTGCACTCTCAAAGTGCAAATAAATGTATCCCTGAGTTCCGTTCTGAAACTAGACGGTCAGGAATTAGCTGAAGTTGATTGCTTCTCGTAATTGGGTAGTTGCGTGACCAACGACGGTAGCGCATCCAATGAGATAGCCGCCCGCATTTCAAAGGCTCGAGCAGTGCACCGTTCAGTTTGTAAAACCATTAACCATGCATTTTCGTGCGCCGGTTTTGGTTGCGGTCTTTTGGCCGCCCATTTGGATAAGTAGGACTAAAACACCTGTGGCGACGACGTGACGTTTTACTGAAGTTGAAAAGTAGCGTATACTGCTCCACTGTATGCTTACTTCCGTTTTCTGGTTGTGAGACCTTGAATTTGCGGGTAGAAAACATCCGTCGCCTAGTGGTTTTTGACAATCGATGCTTACGTAGTCTGACCCAGGTTGGATGGAGAGAGCAGGTTAGTAATGTAGAAGGAAGTCGTCGGGTGTTCAGGAATGCATCAAAATCAGTACACATTGTGCATATGTTTAACGGTCGCCTACCGCGCGGCACCCTATTTGCAATGACCGCTGCAGACTGGAGAAAGCCATGCGGAGGCCAGCAAATGACGTGAAGAGCAGGCATGAAGAAATGCACAGTGACTAGGTAGGTTAGGTGTCTCGTAATCTGAGTTGGGTTCCAAAAGATTCCGTAACCGGTTGGCTGGAGGCACTGAAGATCATATCAGCAAACCGACAGCAGTAGCGATCTTGCTGTTACTTCTTACCAAACCAGAATGCTTGAAAGAGTGTGTATGCACAGTTGGACTGTGTACTCTGTGTGTTGACCAGAGGTTCGCTTTTTTCCCGCCACTAAAAATAGGCCCAATCCCAATCCTCCCCATACATGCTTACTTACCTTGTATGCCTTATGAGTTAGACAGCAATCAGTGAAGTTTGCCTCATTGTGTTAGGCTGTACGACAATGGAGATGATGATACATTGAGAAGAACACAGCAAACGCTATCAGAGGTTGCTAAATTTTTGATCTACATGAAGAGGAAGATTAGTGTAAAGTGCTGCAGTTGCAACCTTAAGCACAGCACAATTCCCTGGAGGAAACAGGAAACATTCTTTTAAGGACAAACTATGTCGAACGTAGATTGATTCAGGGAAATGAGTTGGTAATCAGTAAAAGAACTTATCCGTAGATCATTTTACTCTACTAGACCACAAATGCGGCGATCACTAAGGATCAAATACCTACCGCGTATCTCTCTCACATGAGTTATTTCGAAGGTTATGGAATCAGTCACTGGTGATCAACTCCACCCATACCTGAGGAAAAACAAGACGCTTAGCAACCGTCAGTAGAGTTTTCGGTTCCATCGATCTTCCGTTGACCTGGCGCTCATTTCGCCTAAATGGTCAACAGTACCGGAAAACCACGGTGAAACATATTAGGTGTCACTGGATATGTCAAAAGCTTTTAATCGTGTTTGGCACGCCGGTCTGGATAAACTACCCAAGTTCGGCTTCCCCGTGTCAATGACGCTAACCCGCTCTTCTTTATCCTATTCCTTTTCACATACCGTTAACTCCAGCATTAGCAATGACCGCTCCTCCCTCAGTTTTTCTCTAAATTCTGCTGTTCTCACTAATGCCAGTAAAAGTTCCCTTATGTCTGTTTGTACTTGCATGGACTTTTGCGGAGACAGATATCCACGTCTCAGTCAAAAATTACACATCGTGACATCGAAAAAGGAAATAATACGAGTAGAACATTCAACCATCAAGATTGCCGAAAAAGTCATAAGAAAAGCGCTGTCAGTTTTCGAGGATTCTAGAACGAATTGTGGAATTTCTGTAGATGTTGATACGAGTAATAAACGATATGTAGAACGCGTGGATGAGCGAGAGCGGTATTTGGATACATCGCCATGTAAAGGGTGAGTGGAGTTAGAGAGGATTTTCTGTACAAATGTTTCATATGTGGGCAACTGGAGTTCAGTTTTTTTTTAGATAGATTATCAAAGAGTACAAAAGGCACACGACTGATAACTGACAGACCGCAACGAAGAATTTTGAAGTCTTTCTTAAGCAGTTCAAGAAAAATCATCGGGGAATAATGAAGAATAGAAAAAACGCTGATAGACAAAAAGCAAAATGATTTTTTGTTTTGCGTGGAACTGTACAATGTTTTGAAGTTGAAAATATAATCACTGAGGTTTCTTTAGATAGTTGTGAGTATGGGATGTCCGCTTTATGTTTGTATCAATGGTAACTTCCAAATATCTTACAGGACCCACTGTGGTTAGAGGATCTGTGTTTATGACCAAAGGATGACAGGAATAAACGGATCGCGAGAGAGTAAAAAGGCATTCGAGGCACCGTCATTCACCTCTNTGCTCAATAAACAAAGCTCATATTCACTCTGCAGTTGAATACCGCAGTCATGTGTGAGATGAAACTTTGTCCACCTCTCTTTCTATTCTTGATTGGTGTCAATATAAGGTCATTAGTATCATTAACAACCCGTCCATAACATGTAACTTACAGTTACTAGCGTACCGCCAAGTAAAGGGTTTTCATGTCCTTTTTCTGTCTATACTATTTTGGATTTTGTTCCACTGAACTTGACTCTGCTTTCTCTTTCTCACTTGTTCTTTCTTGTAGGTTCCGTTAACGAGCGGCTATTTTATTATAAATATTTTTGCGATTTACAGCGAATGGAGAAGATAGTCATGAAGTCCTGCTATTCAATGACGAAGACCGGCAAACTAAGCTCCGTGACTTGCATTGACGAACCATCATCATCATCAATCATCATCATCATCATCATCATCATCATCATCTTCTTCTTCTTCATCACCATCATCATCATCATCATCGTACAGCGAGATACAATGAATAGAACTCCACTGATCGTTGCCAAGCTCACAATGTACACAAATGAAGTGATAAAGCACAAGATGGAGAGGAATTGGACCTACTTGGAGGGAGGCAAAGAAAAAGAACCTCTATGTTCAACACACAGAGTACAGAATCTAAGTGTTCATGCATNATGCATACCTTTTTTCAAGCATTCTGCCTTGTTAAGAAATGACAACAAGAACGCCACTGCTGTCGGTTAGTCGCCATATCCTTTAATGTCTCCACCCAACCAGTTGTACAGTCTTTCGGACCCCAACCTGAAAGAAGGGAGACATCGATTCTACCTAATTGCTCTGTGCATTTCTTCATGCCTCGCTTCCACGTCATCTGTCGACCAGCACGCGGTTTCTTCCAACCTGGAGCCGCAACTGCGAATAAGGCGCGGTGCAGACGATAACTGGGCATGCACAATACGTGTCCTAACCAGCGAAGCCGACTAATCTGAATTCGATGGGACAACGAATTCTCAATGGAATCATTACCAAATACGCGACGCCTCATCTCAGTGTTGCTTACAAGCTCGCTCCATCCAACCCACACCAAACTATGTAAACATCTGCAGTCGAGTACTTCAAGACGACGAATATCTTCCACGCGCAAATTTAGGGGCTCGCAACCATAGAGCAGAACTGGCCGCACACTGGCGCAGTATACACGACCTTTCAGTTTCAACGAAACATCGCGTCNNNNATCGCGTCTACACCAAAGGTGTTTCAATCCTGCGTAAGCTGCTCGAGCCTTGGAAATGCGGGCGGTTACTTCATTGACTATGCTACCGTCAGTTGAAACGCAGCTACCTAAATAGGTGAAACATTCCGTTACAGCCAATTCTTAACCATCAGCGCTGGGGTAGACGACACCCGGTCTTGTAGCATTACTTTGCACTTTGAAGGTGCAAAGCGCATGCCAAAAGGAGATACGGAACTTGCTAGTCTGTCAAGAGCGTATTGAGCATCCTCCATACATTCGAACAGGCATACGATGTCATCAGCGTACTCTAAATCGCACAGCTTTTCTCCAGCTGCCCATTCAATACCAACGTTCCAGAGACCAGTAAGTGCGTTCTCCAGTACTTCGTCTACGACGAATTTGAACAGGAATGGCGAAATAGGGCACCCTTGAAGAACACCGCTCCTGNTACTTAGCCCACCGTAGACCCTTACACTACCAGAAGTATGCAGATACAACGACCGCAATAGGTTTACATAATTCCGCGGCATTCCTTTGCGGAACAGCGACCCCAGAAGAGCTTCACGGTCATCTGAATCGAAGGCTCCTTTAAGGTCAAGGAACACTGCGATTGTTGGCCGACGATGTGTGTGACGCAGGAGAAGCCCATCAGGTCCTGCAGCCTTTGCTTTCCTTAATGATTGAATGCAGCTTAGTACTTCCCATTCTGATGGGGGCTCGCATGTTACCACCCATGGAGTTTCCGCTGCACTTGCTGGAATGACCACATTAGCACTAGGCCAATTGAACTGTTCACTAAGATACACTGTCCAGCGATCAAGTCATTGTTCTTTATTGTGAATGCTTTGTCCATTTTTATCGCAAACGATCTCACTGTCCGGTATGCGACGACCTCCGGTGCTGCGTATCAGGTGAAGTAGTCTTTGACTACTCCGTGATGCAGAAGCTACTTCCATTTCACTAGCTATTTCGGCCCATCAATTTTCCAGATCTTTCTTAAGGCTATTTTGAGTTGACATTGCAGGAGACACTGGTCCTTATGACGATCCTTTCAGATTGGGATCTGTTAGGATTACTGACTCCTGAGAGATCCAATGCCTTTGGGGAACTTCGGGCTCAATCCTACTAGCAAAGTTTGCAGCTGAGTGCATCGCAAATCCAATCTGGTTACACTGTTGGTCTACTCCAGTATGTCGCGGTTCTCCTAGCTCCTGTGCCAGCTTCTCCTCATAACGTGCGCAGACAGCTGGATCGCGCAGACGATGGTGAGCTAATTGAGGAGGTAACTTCTGCCGATAACCATTGTGTCGAAGAGCGAAGCGTAGCAGAGCTAGTGCATGATCTAACTCAACGAAGGTGGACCAATAGGATCTGCAATTTTGTACTGAACCACGCCAACGGTAGCTTACAGCTACGTGGTGAACTTGAGTCAATGTGCCCGTTGAACTAGAACACCATGTAGCCTTTGGTGCTAGATAAGAACAGCCGGTGATCCGCGAAGAACTGAAATAGTCGATCACCTGTCTGTTCGTTGGGCGGGAAGGGCGAAGTGCCCTCCTAGACAGGCTTTGGATGCGCTCAGTTTTCTAACCTGCGCGTCAAAATCATCTGCCAGCAGTATNAACCAAATCAGTTCGGCGAGTTTGTCGTAAAATTCATCCTTTTGTGAAGCGGGACTGCAGTTGGTTGGTGCATACGCGGAAATTATGAACAAACACCTTTGGGTGTTGTTACCCTTCCGAACACTAACTGATCCCTGTAGCCTCATTGCGCACAGACGACTATTGATGGGTATCCAATCAACCATAGAGGATTCAGCTTTATCGTTTAATACGATACCTACACCACGCTGACCCAATGAGCGGGCTACGTCGTCTCCTGATGGACGAAGGAAATATCTCGAAGACAGACCCGGCGCACTCAGGTGGCTTATAATACTAGGATCCTGAATTCGTGTCTCCGATAAGCAGTAGGCATCGATTTCTAGAGACTGCATTGTACGCGCAGGACACGCCTGTTGACCCTACTGCATAAGAGTGCTCACGTTGAAAGCCCCCAGATTGAGAGGTTGACGAGGCT